TCGCCATGTCTTCTACATGCATTTCGATTTTATGCGTATGCGTCTCATTACGTTTCTTAGGCCTATCGCACATGAAATGCATAACTGTGCATAAGCATAACATAAGGCCGCTGGACCAATGAGCATCCAGCATAGAGACGCCATATTGATTAACATAAGATGCTCATTATAAGGCCAGCGGCCTTATGTTATGCTTATGCACAGTTATGCATTTCATGTGTGATAGGCCTTACTCCTAAAATGTGATTGGATAATTTTCATTATGCATATGTTTATGCGGTTATGCAAGTTTGTGTGGATATAGCTTAAAGCGGGGAGCACAGACTTTTGCATAACGCATAAAGCATGTGCATAAGGAATTTCATTGGTCCATTTTCTTATGCATGAGTCAATGGACCAATCAAATTCTTTATGTATATGGTTTATGCGTTATGCAAAAGTCTGTGCTCCCCGTTTAACGCATAATATGTCTCGGTTCGCGGGGCAGAGCGACTTCTATCTCTGCCAGATTCTTTCGTTTTATGCAAAAACGCGTCGAATGAGCCTAATTTTATCGAAATTAGAGGTGGTGGGGGTATTCTGTATAATTACCCATATTACATACATATATATAAAATAAACTTTTAAAATGTTTAAGACGTAAAGTGTGTTATCCTATAAATTTAACCTTATTTTTCTAAAAGTAATAACTCTAATTCTAAAACATTATAATTAAAAGTTGTTACAAAAGGAATTATCACGCAAATATGTTTTTATTCGTATGTAGAATAACTTATTTACAGATATTTTATCTTTAAATTATATTTCTTACTTATTATACTACCATTTATTATTTCTTTGTGAAGCTGTGAAAGCATGAATGCTTAATGAGCGATGTGAGCGACAAAAATTTACGCTCACCAAAATTGATGAAAAATGATGAGCGCTCTCAATAAGCAGCTAGTAAGCACTTGCATCCAATACACGATTCTAGAGTGCTCACTGAGCGCTCAGTGAGCAATTGTAATACTGAATGCACCCAATGACGATGTTGTCTGATCCCTTACCATAGACTTATAAGATAGACGGAGCGTTCATACGTGAGAAGTTGAAGACAACATTGAAGGACAGCTCTACTCCAGACCATAGAGATAGTAGTACTAGAGTACGCATTGTCGGAAATTTGAGGAGTGGGGGTAATTCCTAGAAAATGAAGACCTATAATCAAAGATGCGCTAACCACGAACGGCCCGTGATTGGTCCGCCATTGCGTACCCGTGCCAACCTGACCTACCTGATGTAAAGACCAATAATCAAAGTGTGCCATGGCCCGAACGGCCCGTGATTGGTCCGCTATTGCGTACCCGTAGGTCTTTACTGCCAGGCTAGGTGAGAAGTTGGGTACAATATGTCGGACAGAAGTAGTGGTGGGGGATAGTTGGCGCATCTTTGATTATAGGTCTTTACTAGAAAAGGACGCACTCATTTGGAACCGTTTCGTTCTCTCTCGTTTCGCGCATGCGTATAGCCGTATACTCTGAGAGAGGGGATCGAAAGAAAGAATAAAGAATTGAAAGAGCAACCCTTGGCACTAAGAAACCTTTAACCTTATCAAAGTCAATTCTTTGTTTGATTACAAAAAGATCAGGCTTGTCCGGTCATACTTGGAAAGTCAAAAATTTCTTTCCGCGAGACTTAACTAAACCATATGAACTATCTTTATAAGAAACAATCTGGTGGTGCTGGCCAATATGCTCGCATAACTGGAATATAGAGGTATAAATAATAGATTTTTATCATTAATATTTATTGATATTATTCATCGAGAGACCTTAACCTTATCAAACTCAATTTTTTGTTTGATTCCAAAGTGATCAGGCTTAATCAGGCTTGTCCGGTCATGTAATGATGAAACTTTTCTCGTTCCACTCGTTCTTTCTTTCGATCCCCTCTCTCAGAATATATGGCTATACGCATGCGCGAAACGAGAGAGAACGAAAAGGCCCAAATGAGTTCGTCCTTTTCTATATACATAGGATTATCCCCACTCCTACAATGCGTACTTTAGTACTATATCTCTATGCTCCAGACATAGGGTGCGTTCCGAGTTACGCATGAAGCGCGTATACTGCATTACTATTGCGTAAAGCGGGGAGCACAGACTTTTGCATAACGCATAAAGCATATACATAAAGAATTTGATTGGTCCATTAACTCATGCATAAGAAAATGGACCAATGAAATTCCTTATGCACATGCTTTATGCGTTATGCAAAAGTCTGTGCTCCCCGCTTAACGCTTTGAAATCGTTCCGTTTAGTCAAAGCGCATGAAGTGCTTTAGTTATTCGGAACGATTTCCTATGCATTCTATGCGAGTTCAAGATGGACGCTATACAAGACGTCAATAAACAATTTCTAATAATTGTAATTTCTTCTTTAATACTTTTAAAGAAAAATGAAAGATGAAAGTTCCGATGGCAGTTCCGACTCGAGCGATAGTGAAAATGAAGTCGAGGCATATCTCTAAGTGATATGCAGAAAATATTTTTTCTATTAATAGTAGATAAATCACGTGAAAAACAAATTAGAGTTGAAAAAATTATAGATTACGTCGATCGCGTAATTCCTAATTAATATAACGTCTAATCTATACGTTAAATAAATCAAGGTAAAATAATATGCCATTAATTTTGATGAAAATATTCAAGAACTCTTAATTTAACACAATATTCAACATAAATTAAAAGGGCGAAGTAAAAGTCAGAAGTAAATTACATTTAAAATAATATTAAAATGTTAACATATTTACAATAGAAATATTACAAAAAATTGCTTAAAATTAAAAACATGCTGCGCGTAACAATTGTTAAAATTAAAAACATGCTGCGCGTAACAATTGTTAAGCAATTCTTGTAATATTTCTATTGTAAATATGTTAACATTTTAATATTATTTTAAATGTAATTTACTTCTGACTCTTACTTCGCCCTTTTAATTTTTGTTGAATAATGCCATTAATTTTATCTTGGCTTACTTTCGCCATATCCTCTTCATTTAAAAATAAAATTAATACTTTATTTTTATCCTCTAATAAGACCGGGAAATCATGCAATTGCTGTAATCGCTGTTCCATCACAAATCGCAAATATTCCGTTCACTGTTGTATTGTCCGGTACTCGTTGCTCGTTCCGAATTACAAATCATGCGCATAGATCGCATGAATGCATCAGACGCATCAACTGCCTCAGGTCGAAAGAGAAGCAGTCAATGCGCTGAGTGGAGTGCTAAGAATTCAATACGGTTAGTACAATCTGGGGAATTCAAGTACTCTCGAAGCGCTTTCGAAGTAATAGTTAATTCGGAACGACTTTCTATGCAGTCTACGCGCTTCATGCGTAACTCGGAACGCACCAATAGTTGTGTTTCTCTCTTTCACAGTGAGCGGTGGGGGACCAATCAGTTTGAGCGTATTGCGTAATGTCACAACTTTTGGTTTGTGTGCTGAGAGGTTATAAATTCGAGTGTGTTTTTCAAAGATATAATATTTTTTAATTATTATTCGAAAATAGAAATACAGCAACAGTTTACGCTGAAGGTTAATTTTTTGAAAATATATGTAAATTCAGGGAATGGAAGTAACTCGTTACTTGTAACGAAGTTACAGTTACAAGTTACTTTTTTGGTAACTTTACTGGTAACTGCGTTACTTTCTTTTTTTGGTAACTGTAAC